GTCTCTCTCTGACTGCAGTTCAATTACTCATTACCTACACACATTGTCCCGTCACGTTGTGACCATCTTATATATAGCAGACTACCCCCAATCTAGTAAATGCAAGGGCATTCACGAAGGAACAGAATATTTCTAGAAAACGTGGCGTAACACTAGTCACGTGACCTCGCTGACTCAACAATATATATTACAAGTGGGCCAATTAAATATGTGAGAATAAGTGAAACATGTGTATTTTTCAGTAATCTTATCAATTTTCAGTTCATTATTTCTTCAATAATTATGAGAACCATTAACTGAATATAGATTTTTTTGAAAAAGATAAAAATGCTTCTATACAATAAAGAGGAGTCATTAATTTATTAAATTTTACACATATAATGTCACCTCGTTACTTTTCCCAACATTGTACAATGGAACCATACGGTGCAAACCAAATGAGAAGGTTGAATAACTGTTTGTGTGCTAATCATAACCATGAAAGAATGATAGCTTTGTGGTATATGAATACACAACACGTTTTTATCTTCTTGTAGTGTTATAATATTCATCCTGAATTCATTCTTTGTTCTGAATATTTGCAGGTTTAAAACTGCTAAGTTGATCTTGTTTCAAATTACCTTTTTGTTCTTGAAGAAAGTAATACATACCATCATGTTGGTTGAATATTACTTAATATAGCGTTATGTAAGAATGTCGACAGCAGCTAATATCCTTTAACAGTTATTCTGATTACATCTGGAGGTTCTATCTTATGATGAAAATGACCAGTCACGTAATAGCGCATGTCGTCTGGATAAATATGGTTTCTTGGAAGCTAAGAAACTTGACATTTAGTTGGTCTGAAACTTTCCTTTCAGGAGCTCAGTCTATTCTAGAACTTGGTCTTGACCAAATAAATCCGAAAGAAGACACTTAGAGTGATCGTTCGATGTAATTACGCTGCAGTAAACATACTGTGTTTGTGTTTATTTTATTGTTCAATTTATGTATTACTTATGTCTAGTTTTGTTATTTTATTATTTTACATTGACTCAGTTAAGTAAGAGCTTTAGTTACACTTTGTTACTGATATCTTGAACAAATCGCCTGTTATTTAGCGGACCTATCCGATAGCTTGAACATATATTCAGTTTACCTGAAAATACCACGCCTTGATTTAAAGCTAACATCATTTATATACTATGTCGTATTCGTGGAATGATTGTATACTATTGTTGCGTCAGCGAGGTCACGTGACTCGTTCTCTCGAA